ATAGAATAGAATAGAATAGAATAGAATAGAATAGAATAGAATAGAAACTTTATTTTCAAAGAACATGCGTCGAACAAACGCTCAGTTCTAATATACGGCAAAATGTACGGATGCCCTTATACGAACAATAAGTCACTAAGTTGCAAATTATTAACCATAGTATAAGTACTAAGTAGACAAAGAACTATTCAATAATTCACGTTAATTTTGAATGGACAAGTTTAAAGCCCTAGACAAGGTATGATTTTTATGATTTTTCTTATCATGTAATTGGCAACCAAGGTATAGTCTAGATTTGGTGATTTCTAATGTATTGCATGTATTTAGCCCAAAATGTATGATTATTTAGTCATTTAGATCATTTGTAATTTTAGTTTTACGATTTGGAGTACGATCGGATCTGAAGTGATCTGACCTACGTTAATCCGTAATAAACTTCTAGCTATAACTGGAATCAGTTACAATCATAATAATCATGATAAAGCAGCAGATATAGGGTTTGATGAACAGCCTACAAATTCACCCGACGATTTACCGCGTCGGTTAGGGTGTGGTCGCGGTTTGCTATTTTTTTGGGGAGAGGGTACCAATTGCGCGCAACTAACCATATCAAATATAAAATATATAAGGTGTGACTGTAAAGCGCCTAGGATAACTAATGGGCAATATAATGTTTGTAGTAATTGTCTTAAAGTGTTCTATGTAGCGTCTTCCCCAACTGCTTACAAGTGCTGCGGACGACGTATGCAACTCCAAGATGACACTTCGGCTATCTGCTTAAGTTGTGGTAGTATGATATTTAATGCTGTTCCATGCGCGACAAAAGAACAATATTAGAACTCTATAGCAACCGGCGTTTCATAATTTCTATGCATAATTTCTAGACTGACGTTCAATATGCAAATTGAATCTTGTCTCGTTCTTTTCAAACAAACATTTACTGAGCAAGTTTTCTTTGAAGCTCGTTTCTCGCCTCTTGGTATTATTTCCTTGTCCCTAATCTCGGACGTCAGCTTTTCATAGCGGAGCTCCCGCGCAATCGGAACACCATAGGTATAGAATATGGTAAACTATGCAACTCAGTTTTCGTGGTCATCGCATGGGAACCCTGTGCGTAACGCTAAAAGTGTCGCCCGTCAGGTGTACATCGCGCTTCTGATTGGTCGAGCTTTCAAATCACACGTCACTTGGAAAATTAATGACGACTTTTTTAACGAGCTTTTTAACTATCATTTTTTTGTAAATATTGTAAGAACGAAACAAAAAAATTATTGAAGAAATCATGRAAAAAAAGAATTCGCCACAGTGTGAAGATAGAGATTAGGACATTTTCTATTTTGTTTTATTTAGTGTAGATAACATAGCTACAACATTACCGGAAAACGAGCCAACAAACTAGCATGACGAACGAGCGAAAAAAGTACTTGTTTTGTTCTCATGGTAAGAGTATTCGTACTTCATGCATGATATAAAATAATCATTTGAAAAAGCACTTTTTGAATTCCACAATTAAACAAATGCAAGAGATTTTTGACAAAGTTTAAAGCTAAATAGCATTCCTAATATTGACCGGCAAACGAGCAACGAACTAGAATGACAAACGTGCGAAAAAAGTGTACCTGTTGTGTTATTATGATAAGAGTACTTTCATTTTGAATTTCATTCAATAATTTTATATCTTTCTACAGATAATTTATCTAAATATTGAATGAGTTTTAAAATTACACCAAATATTCAACTGTTTATTGAGCTTTTCGACCTAGTACATGATTATAAAAATGAGCTTAAATTTGTGTTGTTGTGAGATATGATATTGTATAAAGAGCGGTACCTTGTCTTTCTCTTTCAAAAGCTAAGAAAATATTAAAAAACATTTCCAAATACCAATTTACTGACAAAGAAAATT